TGCGCCCTCTTGCAATCCGGGACCCCTTGGGGGATGTCGGACTGCCCGTTTTGGCCTGATCCCCACAGGCCAGGCTGATGGATCCCACTGGTGCATGAATCCGTGCACCAGGCCTCTAGTTGGTTAATAAAATTTTAAAAGTATCAGGTGTATAATTCTATAATACATCATCTGTATATTTTATTGTATGTTCACCACCCCACTTGACCATATATGCCTAGTGAAGCTCTGATGATCACTGAATTAAGCTCTATGATTCCTGGGAATCATCTTCAATACCCAAGGAGCTTTCTGTCCCACATGATACAATGACCATGATATCTGATCTGACTTGCATACTCCAGTGAAACTATAATCCTGAAGGAGGTCAGAAGGCTTAAATGAGGTAGAGGTGAGAGGAAGATACCCTTCTTGATACTACTTGCCCTCAACAACCCTCTCTCTCCTGGATCAGAAGTTGGAGTTTGGCCCAGGTTCAGGAGTTCAACCCCAAAACAGAAGCTGTCAGAGCACTAACTACAACTCTGAAAATAAAGAAAAGGTCAGATGTGGGGAGACTCTGAAGAACAATCAGTAGAACACAGTGAAGGATGGGAAGAAGGGGAGTGTGGAGCACCAGATCCCTGATTGCTGCCAGGGTCCTCCTGCTGGTCCCAGCTGTCCTGCCTACATGCAAATACACAAAGTTCCATGAAAATCCCCCGACCCTATGAGATACCACCATGCCACTCCCGTGGAAATTATTGAAATGAGGATGTAGAGCAATTAAATTTCACACATAGTTGGTGAGAATGTAATATGGTATATCCATTGTGGGCAAAGATCTGACAGTGTCTTATGAAGTGAAACATACATTTACTGTACGACCAGCAATCAAACTCCTAGGTAAAACATACTTCCAAAAGCAGACTTTCACAGGGATCTTTATGGCAGCTTTGTTCATAATTCCCAAAAAGGTAGAAACAATCCAAATGTCCCTCAACTAGAGAAGAGATAAACAATTTATGGTGCATTTATATAATGGAATATAACTCAGCAATAAAAAATAACAAAATGTTGATACACATAATAATGGTAATTCTCAAAACATGACTAAACTAATTTTGGTATATTTATATCATGAAATATTCACTACCAACTAAAAGTAATAAATGATGGATACCAGTGACAAGGATTAATCTAAAATAATAAGACTCTAGACACAAGAAAAGTAGATTTAAAAATGATATATGGTATGATTCCATTTATAGGAAATTATAGAAAAGACACAAACTAATCTATGGCAATAGAAATCAGGAAAGTTGTTGCCTAGTGGGTGGGGCAGGAATAGAAAAGAAGGGGAGAGAAGACCATTTCTGGAGGTGACAGAAAAGTTCTACATCTTGATTGGGGGGTTGCTTACTTAGGTGTATACATTTTTAAGAATTCATCCAATTGTACACTTAAGATCTAGAAGAATTATTGTATATGAAATTTACCTCACTAAAAATAAATTCTTTTCTGTAGTTGTTGTTAATCCTCACCTGACAACATTTTTTCCATTGATTTTTAGAGAGTGGGAGGGAGGGAGGGAGAGAGAGAGAAACATAGATGTGAGAGAGACACATTGATTAGTTCCCTCCTGCACTAACCCGACTGTGGTTGGGGATTGAACCTATAGCCCAGGCACACGCCCTTCAGTGCCTAAGCCAACACGGTAACCACTGAGAATACCAGCCAGGGCTAAAAATAGTTAACAAAAAATCCCACTGGCCTTTGCCACATTTCAAGGACACATGTACCTATATTGAAGGATGCTTCATACCAGAAAAAAATCGGTAACACTCAACAATCTTTCTGGTCTGAAAAGAATGTGGCACAGGGGCTGCCAGTTTGCCCAAGCAGTTGATGCAAAGCTCAGAGCAGCTGGGCTTACCAACAGCTTTCATGCAGGCTTAGAACAATGCCCGTAACGTATGACCATGAAATTGGAACATGCCCACTGGAGCCTGTGTGGCATTAGAAATCTCATTTAGAGTGGGCTGGAAACTCTAAGCCACAGAGAGCCTGATGCATTGCTCAGCTGTTCTTTAAGGCAGTTCTGATTTCAATGCCAACTGAGGGGGAGAAAAAAACCAGGTTTTCAGTGTTGTGAAAATTCAGTCTAGTATAAAGGACCCTAAAAGAGGAGTCACCGAACAAGAGGACAAGAGAATGAGGCCACATGCTTGCGGATCTGCTCTCCTTTTTTCACCATCAGCAACTTAGGCCCAGTTCTAGCGGAGCTTTGGAACAAGTGGGTGGGCCCTCCTGTGAGCGTACACAGACCTCATCTTGTAACAGAAGCCCAGTGTAGCACCCTTCATCGTGTTCTGTACATGACTGCACACAATGCAAACTGTAGCCTGTTTGTTTCTATTTCCCCACCATTTGTCAATCCAGAGCCTCTTCTTCTCCTTTTCTAGGAGACTTAGTTCTACATTGAAGTAGTTGAAGTACCGCCACAGGGTGCCTCTGGGGCCCTTCACAATAACTGTGCATCCCTGCAAGTGATGTCCACATTTTCTGGGATGTCCACAGTCCGTGTGATTGCTGAGAATGGTCTTCCTCCTCAGAGTAGATGTGGCAAACAGCTGTCTTTCACTTTGAATGGAACCCTGGCACATTCCTTGTGGGGATGTAAAATGATTCAGCTACTCTGTAAAAAGTTGGGTGTTTCCTTAAGAAGTTTAACATAGAATTACCATATGACCCAGAAATTTCACTCCTAGGTATATACCTTAAGGTATTCAAACAAAAACGTGTATACAAATGTTCATAAAAGCTTTGTTCACAATTTCCAAAAAGTGGGAAGAATTCATACATCCACCAATGGATGAACAGATAAAATGTTATCAAAGAAATGAAGCACTGACCATGCTACAACATGGATGCGCCTTAAAAACATGATGCTGAGTGAAAGAACACTGACTCCAGAGGCACCTGAGCTGGGAGCTCAGATAGTTCCAAACCCTCTGAGCCTTTCTGTCTTGTAGATGGGGTAGAGCCTGGGTGCAGTGGTCCTCTCTGTACACACCTCCCCCCTGCTTCCAGATGCACAGTGACCATAAAAACAAACTAAACACGTTTGAAAGGCTCTGACCTCAACACCTGCAACTGTGATAAAGTGTTGAAACGTTATTCCTTCAGATGCACAGAGAGCAATTCTAATTTAGTGTTACAAACAATACTGGTTTATCTGGTTGCCTAGGCAACCCGCAGTTCTACCCTAGGTGACAACAAAGACTGGAGGCTCCAATTTCCTTCTAGCTCCGAAAATTCTCATCCTCTGAAAATCTGGGGCTATAGAGAGCCTACCAAAGGGAAAATGGTGCAAAAGTAAAACTATTAAATTTTTTAAAAATAGAAGCAGGGCCCAAGACGGCTGGCTGCCCAGGAGGCAATCTGGCTGAATGCCGGGGAAAGACAGGCTGCTTCTTCCATGGGCAGAGTGTGGCACCTGAAGTGTCCACGAGCAATGGTCAGTTAACAGGAGCTTCAGTGACGCTCCGCCCACTCTGTTCACTAAGGCAGAGCCCTGAGAACATGCTGCTGAAAGCTTGTTCTGTGAATTTTAGAAATTAAACTGTCACTTTTCAGAAACGGCGTCCTTATCTAGAAACATTCTCTGCGAATGCATGATGAGCGATTACACCAGCTTTAAATACAGACACTCAGACTAGAGGGCAGGCGCTCCTCTTTGATCTGATCCAGGGGCATCCAGAGGGCCAGAGAGAGAAGTAGCAAAACCGCCAAATGGGGCCTAAAGCCTCTGGCAGCTGCAATGGGACAGGTTGTCCTTTTCACGGGAACAAAGTGCACATTAGATTGTGACCAAAGCTCTCGAGCTTGATAAGCTAAGGGTGGCTGCTCCCCTTTCTGTCAGATACGTGGAGTTTCCTACTGGGGAAGTATGAATGATATCTGCCAATCCCATACCCTTTAGTTTACTGTTCCTATTAGTTTATCTTTGGACAGAAATGTCCCCATTAAAAGCCCTGGCCTGGTAGCTCAATTAGAGTGTCATCCCCATATGCCAAGGTTTTGGGTTCGATCCCCTGTCAGTGCACATACAAGAATCAACCAATGAGAGAGAGGGAAACACTGATTTGTTGGCTAGGGCCTGAGCTGGCTGTTTTGAGGGAAAACCTCCACAGCCCCGCCTGGCTGAGAGGAGAGGCAGCCCCACGTGTCACCCCTAAAACAGATTACTCATGACGGTTAGACAACCTGGATAAACCTTGCCAGTTCAGAAAAATGGAATACCTCACACCCCGGTTCCTGAGCCCCAAAGTCTGGAGGAAGGGGGACTCGGAACAGCAGGTGGCTCCACACCTCAAGTGCAGTGTCTGCTCGGGGACAGGACGGCTGTCCTGAGCCACCGGCATTCCAGTAAACACACTGTGCCAGGGACATGGTCTCCTGCCCAGAGCCCCTGTGCCCTGCTGCTGCCCAGCTCTTCTGGGGGAGGACCTGGCCCGGAGCGCTTCCCACTTGGCTGGAGATGCTCCCTCAGGCGGTTCCCCAGCTCC